AATGGTCTTCTGGAGAGCCCGACGGGAACGGGAAAAACGCTATGCATTTTGTGCGCAACACTCGGATGGCTGGACAAGAAACGGATGGACACATTCAGACGGGTGGCGGCCGCGAAGACGGGCACCGAAATGAATGGCAAACAGTTGACAGCGTCCGCCACGAAAACGCTGAACGGCTGGGAAATGCGCGAAGAGTTGCCTCAAATACTGTACTCTTCGCGCACTCATCTCCAGCTGTCGCAGGCGTGCAAAGAGCTGAAGAGGTCGACGTACCGCACGTTTCGGGCGGTGGTGATCGGCTCCAGGGATCAGCTGTGCATCAATCCGGAAGTGACCAAATTGGACACCATATCGGCCAAGAATCAGACGTGTCGTTTCAAAGCCAATCACAATCAGTGCCAATACTATCGCCAGTACGAGACCAAAGTGGAGAAGAGTGTGGAGTACGGCACGGGTGTGGTGTTCGACATCGAGGACCTCTTACAACTGGGCAGAGCCAACACGTGCTGTCCATACTATGCCGCGCGACACATCCAGAAGTCGGCGTCACTGGTATTCATGCCCTATAACTACATACTGGACCCACAGGTCAGACGGGCCAACAAACTGGAGCTCAGGAACCGTGTGGTGGTCTTCGACGAGGGCCACAACATTGAGCGCATGTGCGAAGAGTCGGTGTCCACACAACTGCGGTCCGACTCGTTCGCCGTCTGCATCAAAGTGATGGGCAATCTGTTGGAAAAGCTGCGCGATATGGATGCCGGCCATTACGACGGCGCCGACGCCAAAGAGTTGGCCGCTCTGGACGTCCCGCTGTTGGCCAAACTGCATATGTTTATCTGCGACCTCGAAATGTCCATCGATTCGATGATTAAGTCGAAACCCACGCCGAAGAACACTCACCAGACGGCCGAGATTTTTCGCATCATCGATAGGGCCGGTCTGGAGGTGACGACAATGCCTAAGCTTATGGGCACTCTCGAGGAGATAATGCAGATCATCGCCGGCTCTCCCGAAGTGAATTCGCCGCAAGGGATGGCCTTCGCGGCCGCATTCACTTCGATGAAGGACTTCTTGGAGAAACTGATTCCGATCGGCAACACTACTCTTGAGGCGTACGACAGCCATAAATTGGATTTCATTAAGAAGTTTAAGATATTTAGCGAAAAGGGTGTCGACACCGACGACGACAAGACCAGCTTCTGGAACAAAAAGAGTTCGCCCGACGCCTGGATTCTTCACGTCTGGTGTTTGAGTCCGAGTGTCGGCGCCAAAGCACTGGCGGCCGAAGGCATTCACAGTATGATAATCACGAGCGGAACTCTGGCACCGATCCACTCGTTTGAGGCCGAAATGGATATGAAATTTCCGGTTAAACTGCAAAACAATCACATCATTGGCGCGAATCAGTTGGCGATTATAAACATCTCGCAGTCCAGAGACAAAGTGGTGCTGACCTCGAAGTACGACAACAGAGATAACATGGATTACTATAGAGCTCTCGGACAGACACTCATCGATATATTGAAAACAATACCGAAAGGAGTTCTGGTGTTCTTCAGCTCCTATACGGCGCTCAATAAATGCACACAAATCTGGAAACAATACCGAAATGACAACATTTGGGATAAACTAAATGCTGTGAAACAGTTGTTTCTGGAGCCGAGGGCTAAACACGCGTTCAACGAATGCTTTTTGAAATACAAACAAAAAGTGGACGAAACGCAGTCCAACGGCGCCGTCTTTTTTGGCGTATTTCGCGGCAAATTGTCAGAAGGTATTGATTTGCCCGACGATTACTGTCGCGGCGTAATCATGACTGGACTCCCATTCCCGGCGGTTATGGATCCCAGAGTTATACTGAAGAAGGAATACCTAAACGAAGCGAAGATACCGTTGACGGCCGACGGCTGGTATGCGTTGCAAATGAAACGGGCGTTGAATCAGGCGATCGGTCGAGTGGTCCGACATAAGGACGACTACGGAGTGATTATTCTACTCGACTCGCGGTTCGCCTCACTATCGGACGGTCTGTCCAAATGGGTTGTGAAGTATATCTATAGAGCAAATGTCAACAATTTAGACGTGAATCTAACGAAACTTAAATCGTTTTTTACGAACCGAATCAACTCTCATGTCGTTCAGACCACACCCGCCGAGACGGTCGCCGCCAAAGCATTTAACTCTCAGTTTAAGCCGTTTTCGCAGCAGAAAAAAGTGGCCAAAAGTAGTCCTAAAATGAATTCAGCGATCAATCGGTTCACACAAAAGAATACCATTTTGGACGCATTCAAAGGCGCGTCCAGTCCTTCGGTCTCCACTTTTAATCCAACGAAACCGAAGAGTATATTCGACTCCATGTCTATAATTATGAACAAAACAATAAATGGTGCGCCAAAACCAGTGGCTAATAGTAGTTCCAACGGATCCACGACTACTATCATTGAAGAGATTACTTTAGACGAGGAAAGTCCCCGCAAAAAGAGGCTCAAATTCAATGTCGCCCTCAAATCGATCGCTGACCCGACTTTAGAAGACAATTGTTCACCGAAACCAGTGTCCAGACAACTGTCCAATGAATCCAATAGTTTGGCTAAGAAGACCTCATTGAATGGAAACACCACTTCTGTTGTGGATTTAGAGCCAATCCGTGTCGATCCCGATGAAGACGCCGAAGAGATCATTTGCATCTCGAGTAGCAGTAGTAGTAGTTGTGTCGCTAATAGTGTTATTACTGCCAGTAAAACATCGACCATCTCTTCCCGCGACGACAATGAGATCAAGTGTTTGTCGGACACCAGTAATAGTACTGCGAATATTAAGACTCAATCGTCGGCCAGTGTTCAAGACTTTTGGCGCAAAAACGGAGCGGAGGTCAGGATTTTGTGTCCAAATTTTTGATTGAATTATTGATTGTTTTATTTTATTTTTAGTTTAAGCGACTGTTTGTCGGAACCAAAAACTTTGAGGACTTATGTCAAGCCATTCGCTTGTATAAGACATACAAGAAATTAAGCGATTTGTGCGATAGTTTTAACAAAGTTTTTAATTTTGTTGAGAAATCCAAACGTGATAAATATATTCAAGGTTTGTTTTTCAATTATTTCATTGATTGTGCGCTAAATTTAATTGATTATTGTTTGTTGTTTTTGTTAACAGATTTGTCAATAATTGTACCCAAAAGTGATCGACAATTGTTTTTAAGTAAATGTTGTATTAATTCAGAAAATGAGTTTAAAATGTTTAAACGTACAGAGAATTGTGAGTTTAAATTATAGTTTTATCTATTTTTAAATGTATTTTATCATTTAATAATTTTATTATTATTTCAATAATAAATTTATTGAAAACAACTGTTATTTGTAATCAAAACTTTAAAGGGAATGAAAGAGGATTTTTGTGTATGATTTGTAAGTTAAAGCCGGCAGTACTGCCGCACCGGACGCTATGCTGTACATACTGTGCCTGTTTTAAGTGCTTTAAAACATGGATTTCAACAAATGGATCAAATGTTTGCCATAATTGCAACAAATCGTTTAAATTATCTGATTTAAAACGATTATTTTTAGGCTAATTAATTATATTATTATTTAAATTAGCTAATTATATTATTAGGTAATAGTTTTGCTCAAGCATATAGAAATAATTAAATTTTTAATATCAACTTTCAAATAATTTGTTATTTTATTAATAAAATACCATATTTTACACAACAATACATCTTAAATAATAGTTTAGTTTTAATTGTATAATAATTAAAATATTATAAAAATTGTAATTAAAAAAGTTTATTCATTTTCAAAGATGTCATAAATTTATTCAAATGTATTTATTCATAGAATTTTTACTCAAAATGTATTTTATTTTTATTTATAAATAAATTTAAATTTCTATTAAATAGATATTTTATTAATTTAATAATTATCTTAAATTCAATTAAAAGTATATGAATTGTTATAATTATATACTGTACGTCATTTGAATTGCCTTTATTGATTAATTTTTATGCCTATAATTATTATTTTTGTTTTCAAATAAGGTTTACTATTTTCAGCTTATATTTTAATTATTTGTTTAATGTATTTAAAGAGTAACTAAAAAGTGATTTCAAAATATGGGCTAAAAATCCGACTTTAAATCAGATTATTTGCGCTAACGATGAGCGCTATTGTAGGGGTG